CCTCTAGCTCTTGATTGATTGTACATTTTCAATGTCTTGTACCGAGTAAAAGCAAACATGTATTGTAAACAAAAACATATATATATTGTTTTACAAAATTTAAAATTTTTCTTAAGAACTCCACCATTGGAGGAGACAAAACTTAAGGACTCCAATTCAAATTCTTAAGTTTGATAAAAGCAAAATTTAAACTTAAAAAATGATGAGAACCCTTCTTGGAGTTCTCACCATTGGAAATGGTCTTAGATCCATAAGGTAAGCTACCTTATTGCAAAAAAATTAATATTTTATTCCATCTTAAATTAATCATAAAAGTTTGTAAAAATCAAATCTCGAATGCTTTGTGAATGTATATGGCAAATGGGGAAAGCTTTTCCACAAAAATATAATTGTGAAAAAAAAGCTGCGTGCTCTCTTTCAATTAGTTGACATCGAATCTGATTCTCACACCACCACCTTTCTTACTTTTATTTCTTGTCATTATCACTTTCTTTCCACGTTTTATTTTTTGTAGTTTTATAAACAAAAAAACAATAAACTAATCTGAAACATTTATCAAGAACCTATATAACGTACGAAATATTAAGTGATTGCAAATGCACACGGAATGTTAATGTATTACTTATACTCCCTCCGTTTCAGTTTAGTTATCGTTTTAGGATTAAAATTTTGTTTCATAATAGTTGTCGTTTTAGGTTTTCAATGCAAATGTTTGGTGAAAATTAATGTTTTGTCATTAATGTTTTAATGTTTTGACCAATGAAAAAATTATAAAATATATTAATAAAGGGTAAAACAAAAAATTTAATGGTTTTCTTAATTTGTGTGCAAAAACCTTAAACGACAACTAAAACGAAACGGAGGGAGTATTACTTAATCCCACAAAGAAAATGTATCTAACACTAGAGCTTGATCGATGTCTATAATAAGTTAAGCCTAAGCAATGGTGGCATATGGTGGTCTCTAATGTAAGATAGTCATAAATTTCACCAAGTCCTAAGGTTAATGAAAAGAACAAATGGGATATAAGCTTCCGTGTTTTTAGGGAATTAAATGTGACTAAACAAAATTAATCTTATGGAAAATGATCTCTAGTGTTGTATATATAGACTTGTGTGATGCGCCATGGATAGTGAGGAACTTTAACATCTAAGTTTCTAGCTATCCACCATCATCGACCCTAAGTGCACACTCATATGTTTATGTGATGCAATATTCAACAAAATATGCGTGAAGTTATGAGTCTTTTAAGCAATCATACTTAATTAAATATTTTCCACATTGTTTTCGAGAACCATATATCCACCGTTCCTCAATTATAGTTCGCACATCACCATCATATATAGACCTATACCAAATACTACAGAAAATAATTTTAAAGTTGTTTTGTAAATATATATATATGTTGGATAAAATTTAAGTTGTGATTAGTTTTTTTCTTTGTGTTTTATTTCCTAATTTGTTTTATAACATATCTTCTTTGATAGAGAATGATGATGTTGTATTTTCCGGTACGGTTATTTATTCTTAATTTTATATGACAACGATTAACTCGATTAAGAGTTCGTATATATTGTTTTATAACATAATAACGACGTCGACACAGAACTTTCAAGGCTAAACTCACTTTTCGATGGACACGTAAGCATAACATGGGTAATGGTTTTGTTACTAAATATAAATTAATTCTCTAAAATGCTTTTGAGTTCATATACCAAGGATACTAAGGAAGAAATGTTAATCTTTTTTTGGGCAGGAAATGTTAAGCTTTTTGTATATTCTACAAACTCTTATCATTATTCATTAATGAAATTCAAATACTTATCAAAAAAAAAAAAAAAAAAAAAAGGAAGAAATGATAAAAGTAATATTTGTATGTACGGACCAAAATCAGAATAATAACGTCATCTTTTATTTAACCTGGTTGCATTACCTCGGGCTTCCATTGATTAATAATGGGTGAATAAGTAATTAAGTAAATTCATGCAAAGTTATGAGTGGTACAAATTATAACCACATATTCCGTTCTTTAAAAAAGTAATTATGAAAATTTGTTCGGCAGATGAAGCAAATGATTAGTACACCTATGCCAAATCTTAAAAAATTAGAATGGAAAGCGATATATGAAATTGAACGTAGTCATATTGGATTCGTAATCGAGACTTTCACTATTGCTCTTGAGAATGTTTGGACGAGAAAGAAGCTCCTAAAGCAATAAATTAGTTAACGTTCATAATTGAATCATTGACATCAGGACAAAAAAAAAAGCAATTCATTGCTTACCTAGCAAAAAAAATAATCAGATATTTGTGGATAAAAAAGTACAATAGAAACTGTTTCGTCAACTTTTTTTCTGTCACAATATCGTCATTTTTTTGTTTAACAATATGCATTATATAAAATTTATTAATAATAGTAACACATAGACGACGATTGTAGCATAAACCACTAAAATACATGGTTTCAGTTTATCTAAACTTTTGAAATGTGTTTTTTATGATAAATTCGAAAAATTATTAAGAAATAATTTATGGGTCAATACAATTTCAAAATGAAGAAAAACAAAAGAGAAGAAAACAACAAAATGGAGAAGGATAAGAAGAGCATAAAAGAGATGAGTGGGCTTATGAAAAGGTTAGCTGATGACTTCATGCATGATCAACGTTAAAGATTATTTGTTTTTAGGGTAATAATACAGCATATACGCCATTTTAGGCAATCTCTTTCTGAAAAAGATGTTCGCATTTATACACGAAACGACTGATTATTAAAGATATACTACAACAAAATCGTTAGGGAAAAGAAAAAGAGAAGATAAAATGTAGAGACAAATTGAAAGATCTCTCCTTCTTTTTTCTTTTAAAACCAAAAATAAAAGTTGTAAATGACAGGTTTCATCTTTTTCATGCTTTTTTTTCCCTTTCTTTACGTCGTTTGATACCGAGTAAAGTTAATCTTCATACTTAGATTCAGTCATTCTTGTTAAAATAAATGTTATTATATATTCAAATATTAATAATCAAAAGGATACGAGATTAATATCATAGTTTTTGAATAGTGACGTTGAACATTTTCTATTTGATTACATAGTTAATATATATAATAAGAATTCAATGGTTAATTATTGTGAATTTGGTTCAACCATTTTCATTTGTTTTATAGCAAGATTGCAAGCAGCTTATATACTTTTAACTAACAAAATAATTAATGAAAAATACAAGTATATGTGTAGATTGATATCTAATGAAAGGAAAACGAAAACGACAGATCAGGGACAAGCCTAGGCTTGAGTCTTGACCCACAAAGATACCCTAATTAAGCTTTCATGATTTACGGATCTATATGATAATGAACTCTATTAAGCAAAGTTAACATATACTTAGTCATCAACGTACAGATATACTTACATATATATAAGTGCATTATTTCTAATAATAAATGCAAATAAAAAATGATAATTATGACAAATTAACCAAAAGTTAAGTTAGCAATGGTATTATAGCCGTGGTGTTTTAATTATTGGCATGATTAGCAAATAGCAAACAAATCTGTGAAATGATAGCCTGAAAATCTAGTAATATGACTTATCCATTACATGTAAAAAAAGAAGAGCCTTTATTCTGTTAACTGAAAATTTTTTTTTTAGCATTTTGTTTTGTAAATTTAAAATTCTGACACACAAATATGTAAGTGTAACAAAAAAAAAAGTGCCATATAATATTTTTGAAAAAATAGTTACTGATAAAAATTCATAATATTTAGTTCAGCATTTTACAATTTCAGAATAAGAAGACTTCCAACATATAAATTTCTGAACCATAAAGCACTGGACTATAGATCTAATGACTAGATAGACCCAAAAGATGACTTTCATTTGTGAAAAAAGAATTAAAAACACCAACGTTGTGTTGGCCTAGTGGTAAATCTCTCTGGGTTCGACGTCCGTTGGGAGGGATCTCTTCTCCAAAAAAGATGAATTGAACCTGGTGTGGCCTCTCGAAGATGTAGGGTATTCGGGCTTGAACTTCCAGATATTCAAAAAAAAAAAAAAAAAAAATTAGAAACTGTATGATTCACAACTTCTCGGAAGTCCCTCTTATCACAAAACCAATATATATCTAAAAGTTTCCCAAACTTGTTTTACTTAGTGGTAAAGATAAGACTGAAATAATTGTAGTATTTTATTTAAAGACATGTATCGCTTAAAGCAAATCAAGGTCTTTGACTCTTTTGGTTGTCTCTAGAATTAATGTCTTTAATTATTTATTCATCTAGGTCCCCTTTTCTCTTCATACTTCGACCTTGTAAATCATATGTATATAGATATGGTATTTTCTAACAAAAAATCTATATATTATAGGTATTATTCGACAAAGGGAACCTTATAGGCGAAGAAACGTCCCCCCACTCAAACCCTAAAAAGAGAATCACAGAAAATAATAGAAATACATATGCATATACAAATAATGCATGAGAGTGGAAAATATATATAAGAAAAGAAATAAAGCATAAGAACATGACCCATGTTTAGAAAAGCATTATGTTCTCACTTTATCTTTGTGCTCCTTCACTATCATCATCTTCTCTCTAAACCTCTATCTTCTTCTCTCTTTCCCTTTTGGTTCTGTGCTCTCCTCTCATCTTTCTTTAGCCTTTGGTTCCCTTCTTTCGTTTTTATATGATTCTCCCACCATTTTTGTTCTTTTGAGTTTTAAAGATCCATCAAACTTTATTAAAGAAAGAAGAACAAAGAGATAAAAGGGAAGAAGAACAATGGTTTTCTCATCCGTCTCAAGCTTTTTAGATCCACCAATTAATTGGCCACAGGTTCTTTGATCTTCCATATTACCTAATCTTCTCTTTCTTTACTTTCTTTTTGTGTGATTTCTACCTCTCTTAAATTCTCCATTGATTGTTTTGATTCTTATATTAATAATTTTGATTCATTTTTTCTAAAAGATATATTCCTATTCTCATCTTCATTCATCTTTAAGCTCTTCTTTTTTCAAAGTCCCAAAACATATTCATGGTATTTCTTGCTTTTATATAATCTCACCTATATATAGACCATTTACATACTATAGGTTTATTGTAAATAAAAAAACAAACAAATTTAATTGACAACCAAAGATTGAATTTGAAGTTTCTGGTTCTTCTTTCTTGTTTGGTGTGAGTGAATTCCTTTTCGTTTCTTGTTTTTAATGTTTGCAGTCTGCGAATTCGAATAATCATCCTAATCATCCTCATCATCATCAGCTACAAGAAAATGGAGGTTTAGTTAGTGGCCACCACCAAGTACTCTCTCACCACTTCCCACAAAACCCTAACCCTAACCACCACCATGTTGACACAGCAGCCGCCACCACCGTTGATCCGAGCAGTCTCAATGGCCAGGCGGCTGAGAGAGCGAGGCTAGCTAAGAACTCTCAGCCGCCAGAGGGAGCCCTAAAGTGTCCTCGATGTGACTCAGCCAATACCAAGTTCTGTTACTTCAACAACTACAACCTCACACAGCCACGTCACTTCTGCAAAGCTTGCCGTCGCTACTGGACACGTGGTGGTGCCTTGAGGAACGTACCTGTCGGTGGTGGCTGCCGGAGGAACAAGAAGGGTAAATCCGGAAACTCCAAGTCTTCCTCCTCACAGAACAAGCAGTCAACGTCTATGGTCAACGCTACAAGCCCTACAACTACTAGTAATGTCCAGCTTCAAACAAATAGCCAATTCCCATTTTTGCCCACTCTACAAAACCTCACTCAACTTGGTGGTATTGGTTTAAACTTAGCCGCCATTAATGGAAATAATGGTGGAAATGGTAACACTAGCTCAAGTTTCTTGAATGAATTAGGGTTTTTTCATGGTGGTAACACTTCAGGTTCGGTCATGGGTAACAACAACAACGAGAATAACATCATGACTTCTCTTGGATCAGCAAGCCACTTCGCTTTGTTCGATCGAACCATGGGATTATATAATTTCCCTAACGAGGGCAATATGGGATTATCTTCTATTGGGGCTACTAGGGTTTCTCAAATTGCTCAAGTGAAAATGGAAGACAACCATTCGGGTAATATAAACCGACCGGTTTCCGGTTTGACATCTCCGGGGAATCAATCCAATCAATATTGGACAAGTCAAAGTCTCCCTGGTTCTTCATCTAACGATCATCATCACCAGCACCTTATGTGAGTGTGTTTCTTAGCCGTCGGATCATTCATGGACCTTGTTAAAGAGCCAATGCATATGGAGAAACTAAAAGGTATATTAGAATCGGTTTGTTATAGTCAATATATGGGTGCATATAGAATCAGGGTGTGACAAAGAATTATATTCGTATTGTGTGATTATGAACTTGTTAGATGTATGAGAGAGTGTACTTTGTCGAGTTTGTGTTTGTTCAATTCGTATTATTCACTCAAATTTTCATAAAATAATACTAACTTATCTGTATGTTTTATTTTTATTTTGGTTGCTAAGTCTTGAGTACGTGAGAACCAATCAGCAGCAATATTACTAAGGAATTTATCATTCATTGCTATCTTTTTTAAAGTTTATATAATGAATAATAATTTTACGGGACCAATAGGATAATGCATAAAGTAAAAGAGTGTTGTTACAGACTGACGAATTTAATCATACAATTCCGTGTCTTCTCTAGAGATAGTAAAGTTTTAAAATTACCAAAAAGCTTATGTTTCTCTCATTTTTAGGAGCTTTGCCTTTTTCTTTTTCAGTCCTTAATAAAGATCTGTGCATATGAAGATGCATGTACGTACCACGTTATTATGTTTACTTTCCAGTCTTTAATATTCCGTACATCCATGAAAACCCTTTATTTTATTTTTTGTTGAAAGATTAAATAACCCTTACTTTTACATAAATATATACTCAAAATGCATGGATTCTTTCGATATAAGATTTGATTTGTAAAATCAACTCCATCAGCGTTCTAATGTATACTTCCTCCGTTTCATATCATTTGTCGTTTTAAAGTTTATTTCATATTTATTAATAAAACAATTAAATTTTTTCTTTTATTCTTTGTTAATGTATTATATAAAACAGTAGATATAATACTTTTTTTTGTTTGAATTTAAAAAACTGTAACCCTCAACCATGTCTGACAAGCCCAATACGGATCACCTCTACTACTGATCAACAACAATCGCCACTGTCTAAGTACTATTTTTCAAACCAACTCAATATCTATAAGGTTAGATCGAGTTTTGTCTTTACCAACTGTTCATATGAGTTCTTTGTAAATGGTAATGTCTCTGTACCAATTCTTGCAACATCCTTGTGATACTTGGTTGAGATTTTACATTTTCTAGCTCTTAGATCTTCTGGAGATGTCTCTTCAAAACGTATTATTGCTTAGATACTTTATACACATTAGTTAGTAATATGAGCTAGTCTTAACCAATTACCTCTTCGTAAGTGTACGGTTAAGTGTCAATTGAGTATTTTAAGTTATTTAATTACCTAGAGAAGAAGATAAGTTCATCTTATGGATATATAGATAAGTTTATGTCCCACTTGCGTCGAGGGATATAAGCAAAGCTTAGATCACTACAAAGATGTTCGGGTCTCGATCCATAACTCTTCAAAATTAACTTAAACCTTAAAAAGAAAAGTATGTTATAGATTCAACGAAATTATCACTATACAATTGATTCTCCTTAATTATACAATAACTAACCATGCTGCTTTAATTTAACCAATATCTACTATTTCTCCTTAAAATGAGAAAAATATATCAAGGAGACCATTTTACTTTAATTGGCATGCTTACCACTAGTGGAGAAAACTATTGTCAATGAAAATACCAAATAAAATCACACAACGTGAAAGATTAACGATTATGCATGATGATACAATGAAAACATGTGAAGCGTGAATGGGCAAACATCCTCAACATTAAAGAGTAATGGGCTTTACTTTGTTTGAAGTTAGACGAATTGAGAAAGAGAAGTGTTATGCATTTTCCCTATTCCAAAGACTCATAACGCTTTTTCAACATCGATATAAAGCCTAAGTAACGCCAAAAGCAAAATCTATCGTTGCTATTCGTGGCTCACTTTTTAAGTGGGAATCATGTAAAAAATTTACTTACTCATGTTGTATCTTTTCTTCGGGTATGTCGTTTTGTTGTTTTTGCCTTTTAGTCCCCTTGTTGGCTTCTAGTCAATGGGCACGAAAATTAAGCAATAAAGGTCTTGAAGATATTTTCTAAGCTCAGCGGAAAAATTTTTTTGGCTATAAATAAGCCAACTGTCTTCAATTTGAGTTTTAAATACAAAAATCCTCACCTGGATAAGTTTAATAAATATTGCCTACTCAAAAAAAAAAAAAAAATTTAATGACCATTGAAGGTTTGCCAAAGAAATATTAAAAATCTAAACGTTCCTTAAGACTAATTCTCTTCTCCCAAAAAGTTAAATCATAGAGTTGTGATTAACAAATAAGTTGATATAACGTTTTAACTTTTTCGTCAAAAAGAAACGAAATCTTTCAGGTTGTGTTCTTCTGTGGAGAGAAGGGTAAGCTTTGACGTAACGGACTATGACCCCGACGAAAACGAGTGGGGAAGCATCAACGATATAGTAGTATCTCACAGCGGTCAGATGAGCGGACCATCCTCACCGAAGTACCAAATTATGTCGATGAATAACTCTGCGGATGAGAACGTGATCACGAGGGTAAACCTTCATGAAGACATGGTGCAAGAACGGCGGAAGCGGATCGCCTTTGTTTGTGATGAGTTAAACCGTTTGAAATCGTTATCAACAAGCCACATGTCAAAGTCAACCGCTGCAGCCTGCAGCGTCCTTGAAAGGACTAAAAATGTTCATCGGGCCGACTGAAGGTGACTGGACCGCCGTGGAGAGGCGGTTTGATAAGATGAGGGAAAATACTAGTGGGCTGCTAACCTGTTCAAAATTCGGTGAATGCATAGGTAAGTTTATTGTAGGATAGAAAACAAGGGTGAATTTTGTTAGAAACCCGAACCTGTATTACCCGAATATAAAATATGCACGCTGTTATGATTAGTGTCAATTGGTTTTGAGTTGGAAAACCATGACTTCGAGTCTATTTCATTTATTGTCAATTGGTTGCTAAATGTTTTTTCATTATATTTAACTAGTTTTTGAATCAAACTGAACTTCTAAAATATAACAATTCAGGGATAAACTCAAAGGAATCCGCCTTGGAATTGTTTGACGCATTGACGAGACAGAAGATGCATGTATAAGAGAGGATGTGATTGATAAAGGTTTTGAGTCTTTTGACTTTTTGATCATTAATCTTTTTGTTTTGCTTCACAGTTTATGAGTCTTATTGCATCTGCTAACAATATGTCCACCATCAAGAACAAAGGCGATGAATATGCATCACAGATTATGGACGAGTTTGACCCAGATGAATTTGGGTACATCACGGTAAGATTTTGTGTAAGCTCGAGTTAGCCCTAACAAGGATACTTCAATGATCCGTTGATTCCGGGAATACCGGAAAACTAAGCATTCTTATATTCGTTGAGATCTTTGTTGATGTACCAAAAACAACAAAAATACAAGACCAAAGTATACTCAGGTCCGGCCCGCCACACATACCCAAGATACAAATGTATTGGACTTCCAAATTTTTTAAAAAGATTAGTACTAAAATTAAGCCCCAAAAATAATTTTTATTACAAAAATAGGGCTCATTTTTCCAAACTTTTAAGATTTAGTCTCAAATTTTGAATTTATCTATTTGTTATTGTAAAAATAAGCCTCTTTTTCTGAAAATTTAAGATTTGGTCTCATTTTTAAATTTTATCTACAAAATCCATCAAAAAAAAAAATTCTCTGTATTGGGCCTCATATATAACAGGACCGGCACTGAGTATACTATATGATTAATCAATACCAAAAATGAATAAAACCCCCATACTGATAAGTTAAACCCCAAAACTCTGAAAAATCATCTTTACCAAAATGAAATGAAGATTCGAATATAAAAATATAAGTAATTAGGCTTGCATCATTTTCTCCAAAAGTTGTAACTTTTGAAGTGATTTTGAAATAGGTAGAAGCTTTTGAGATGCTGTTTAAGGAACTGGAAACACATTGTGTAACAAGTACTGAGGAAACAGAGAATCCTACGATGCTTAAGAGATGGAACAAAGTTATTGAAGCAATCTCATCTTCCTCGTTGATTCCTCATTTGAAGAAAAAAACAATCATCCACGTAGAAATTGTGAAACAAGATTTGAGATAAAATTGATTTAAAATTTTCAAAATCTTGTTCTTTTTGTGTGAGTTTGATTTTAAAATACAAATAAAGTGTGTTCAAACTGTGATTGTAAAAGCAAACCTTAAATCAAAATCAGACAAAAAGAATAACCCGAATTGAATCGAACCGAACCAAAATTACAGCAACAATAACAATATAACATCACCAATATGAGCATAGCTGCGATACAGCAACAATAACATCACCAATATAAGCATAGCTGCGATTACTAGCTCCTATTATTTGAATAAACATCAATTCTGCTACATTCAAATAAACTTATTTAGAAATGATGAATTTGGTTTTTGTAGGCAATTTTGATGCCGCAATTGTAATAGCTTCTCTAGCTATTTTTTCGGATACACCACCCATTTCATAAATGATTTTACCTGGTTTAACCACGGCTACCCAAAACGCTGGCTCTCCTTTCCCACGACCCATACGCGTTTCAGGGGGTCTTACTGTAACTGGTTTGTCTGCAAATATATGAACTCGAACTTTCAAACCACGTCCTATATTTCGTGTCATTGCTCGTCGCCCTGCTTCTATTTGTCTAGATGTGATCCAAGCGGGTTCAAGTGTTTGAAGAGCATATCTACCAAAAATATTCCCTTGAGAAGATATTCCTTTAATTCTTCCTCGATGATGTTTCTGAAACTTTGTTCTTCTTGGAATATCGCTGATGGAACTCTTTTTTTTTGGTTTCTTTTCTTTGATGGAACTCTTTTTTTTTTGTTTCTTTTCGTTGATGGAAGTCTCGTGGACCTCTCTGACACTATTCGCTGTCACGGGAAGAATTGTGCATCTGAAGTGCCATGTTCCAAGAACCTAACCAAGAGTGAATGTAAAAACAAACAGCTTATTCAACTTCTATTTATTTTTTCAAACGTTAAAAAGTTTTTTCATTTGGTAAAGATTTGTCTTTTCTTTACCTGTCCGAAGCGAGAACCAGTTGCGTTGAGACGGCGTTTGCAGTAGAAAACATCAGGTGCTGTCTTTACGGCATCAATCGCCTTTTTAGGAAGATTATTCTGAGGTAAGAGATACATCACAGACCCAAAAAAACACAAAAACCAACATTTCAGACTGTAAACTGAATCCGACAAATGAATCAAATAAGGTAAATGAATTCTCGAACCACCGACCTTGGGATTGATGGAGTCAAG